GATAGACCATCATGTTAAATTCGAAAAAATCAAATTATGGTCTATCAAGCCAGTTTTCAATCTAGGACCTGACTTGTCCAATAATATCAACTAGGATCATAACACAATGAAAAAGGTAACTATTTCGTTTAAAAGCTGTCGTATCAAACTAAGATTTCATGTCATCTTTGCAAGTATTGAGATACATTACTTTTATGTTACAAGAAGGCAGACAACTTAAAGGAAATTGTGGAAATGGTTGCTCATTTTGTTTTTTAGAGTCTGTGTCAAATCTTCACACCAAGTGAATTTTAAATACAGGACTGTTTTAATCAAAAATTTGCACAACTATAACTGTGAATCCCCAAAAGCATTGGTAATATTTTCTAACTTTTTACTTTAAACTATATTTTTGGCAAGAAGATGCTTTTTCGATGAGGGAATTTTAGACTATGTGAAGTACATTTTCTTATAGGAAGTTCTCATGTTATTTTGGACAACTAGGTGGGCCATTTGCCTTGGGGAATTTGTAGAGGATCCTAACATTTGTCAAAAATTGTTAAATATAAATCCACCATATGGCAGTCATTTAGTAATTTGCAAATGTTGGCTAGACTCTAAGGAGACAGATAAGGCCCTGTGTGTGATACACAGCTGAATTTCTGTAGAAATTCACCCACTCACTTGTAATAATTCCCACAGAAGGACCATCTTGGACATCCTGTGAGAAATTGTTAAAAATGGATTAATAATAAAATTACAGGCAGAAGAAACCTTTTACAGGGAGCAGGTTTCAGCGTGTGGAATTGTGCACCACTCCTAATATAGAAAGAGCTGATTTATTTCGAAAATATTTAATGATTCTGCATCATTTCTATATGGTTTGTAAATGGACGCCCTTTTGGAATAACACAAACTGCAAAGTTTTAGACAGAACAGGATCCTAATATTGTAGGCATTTGTCCTTTGTTCTGTTTGGAGTGCTGTAGTATCACATAGGGCTATTGTTGACACTCATGAGAAGTAAGATAGTAACAATAGTAATTATAGCAACAACGAAGATATCTTTATTCGTGTACTTCCCATGTAAACAACCGTTTGCTCCAGTTGTTCCAATCTGAGCAATAGATCACATCCTGTAAATAAGGTGGTTTATCCAATAACAATGGCCTTCATTTTCCAGAGATGAATATAGAATGAAGAATTTAGCAAGCCTTGTTATTTATTTTTATGTTGATGAGAAGAATTATAATTGTGTGACAGAAATAAATATTTATCTTATATCAATGTTACTTTGTAAGAGCCACTTGACAAGAATATTAATAAAGAATTCCATTTATATCGTATTTTCCATGACCAATGAGTTTTTTAAAAGAAATCTGTAGTGAATGAATTATTATGGAACATGGCAGGCAATTTATGCATACCCGACTCTCACAATCAGCTAAGCAATAATGACCAAGGAAGATGTTTTTTGTGCTGTTAATTGGGGGACAAATATTGGCCAAGACTCTAGGGAGAACTCACTTGTTCTTCTTTGAAATAGTGCTATGGAATTTTTTATCTCTATATTAGAGAGAATAGTCAAGGCCTCAGTTTAACATCTCACCTGAAATGCAACCCTCCCTCTGTGCTGCATTGGAACCATATCCTTTTACAGTCAAGGAGGAGGATTTGAACCTCAGCCTTCCAGCTCAAAGGCAAGAGGGCTACCAACTGAGCTAGGGCTGACACTCATGTAGGACAAATGTAACAGTAAATATCTTGAAAAGTTATTGGATTAATGAAGTGAAAAAGGAGTTTGCATATTCTGCAGTCGCACCACACCCAATCATAAATTAAATCTCTAGCTGGGGGAGAA